TTTTTTTTTTTGCTCAACAATGTTTTTTTTAATATAACTTAATCACTGCGAAATTAAAATATCTTATGCTTAATGGACTCACTATACAACAAGTAACTGAAGTAGCCACAAGCACGGGCAATTAGGTGGTCTTACTAGTAAGTAGACATCATGTCATCACATATAACGAACGTGGAAATTAGGTGGTCTTACTTTTGTCCCGAGCATGAAAAAAGTGATTAAAAAATAGAACAACGAGACCCTATAAAAAATTTCAATTTTTAAATAAATATAATTCGCTTTCGCACTTTACCATAATTTTAATGTCAACAATAATAGAATCCAAATCTCAAACAACCAAACAAAAATAATCACGAGGAACCAGATACTCGAGATAGAGAGTCAACCCTTTCAAATGGTTAGGTTGGAATATAAACTAAAAATCAAATTAAAAAAAAACGGAAATAAAATATTGTTATAGTAAGATATATTAGATCGCTAAATAATCGATTAAAGAACGAAAAAGACGTTTATGCCGTTATGCAGATTTACCTATGGAAACAGATTTACGTGAAGAGAGATGTCGTCTGTAGAAGCAGATTTACGTGATGAGATGTCGTCTATAGAAGCCGATTTACATGAAGAGAGATGTCGTCTGTAGAAGCAGATTTACGTGATGAGATGTCGTCTATAGAAGCCGATTTACATGAAGAGAGATGTCGTCAGTTTTTTAAGTAAGGTTTATATTAGATCGCCAAATAATAGATTAAAGAAAGAAAATGGCCTGTACGCAGTTACGCAGATTTACTCGTAGAAAAGAATCGATTAAAAATTGGCCAAGAATATATGTGTATAGAATTATGGAGAGAACAAAAATGACTTCACGTAGTTACATCATGCAGAAGAAGACTAACGTGAAGAGAGATGTCTTCAGTTTGTTACCATAAAATACCGCCAAAGAATTGATTAAAGAACGAAAGTGGCCTGTACACAATTACTCAAATTTACATGTAGAAACAGATTTATGTGAAGAAAGATGTCATAGGAGCAAATCAGGTAAGTCGCCTTACTATCGACATGGTTAGATTTGATGTTGTGTCAATACGTTCCCCGTGGTTTTGCACGTGCCATATATTTGATATATGTGAATTTTTTATGAAACGATATGACTATAATATGATATGCATACGTTACGGTATGTGAATGGTTAGAAATGGGAATAAAACATTATTTATAAAAAATGTGGAAAACTTGGACGGTTACATTACCCAATATACAATAGCTCAACTTAGCACTTCATTGGTACAAATAGCAACTCTTTTTTTAGTCATCTTATCTTTATAATTTCTCTCATTTAAATCGTGTCTCGTTTCATTCATATACCTCCTCTTTATTCGGGTGTAACAAAAATATTTTCCACAAACAAATTTAAGAATTTATATATGAATGCTGGATTACCACAAAGTCATTTCTTATCAATTAAAATTAGAATATTCTTAAATTTTTATATTTTAAATACTAATAATAATAAAGTTCCCTATGGAATAAGATAAAGTTGAGAAAGAACCATCCATCTTATGAATCAATGGCTGACATTTGTTTTTCCATCTTATGATTCTTATAAATAAATACTATCAAGAAAAAGAATCAAAATACCCCTAAAGTTACCAAATACCCCTAAAGTTAAGGATAATTACGGATTTGCCATTCTGCTAAAAATCCGATCCTTCACTATGCCTTCTACACAAAATCCTGCAAATCTCGACTCTCAGCCGTTCAATCTCCCCCATACTTGAATATATTCAGAAAACTCACGGATCATCACATCCAACAGCTAGGATTCAAAACCAAAGTCGGTGAGGCTGTGATCGGAGTAGATATTTCTGACGAATTTTCTAGAAAATTCAACCGATAATTCACGATGAATCTAGAGCTCCCAATGCCGGTTTATGCTTTCCCTATAAATTCTGAAGTTGGGGCAATAGTTTGGAATAAGAGTCAAGCAAGGGAGAGCTCCCAATCGTAGGCAATAAGTGTTTAGATTTTGGGTCTCCTACTCTCGGTTTCTTCAAAATTTGAGAGCAATTCTCAACCATTGCCTTTCAAACTTGTTCCTATAGTTTCTAAACAATATTACCCACAAGTGCTATGAAGGAATAGGGTTCGGAAAGTGCCTAGAAACCATTCCCCCAATCCAATCCGCCATTAAAGAGCTTCAAAGAAAACTCAAAATTCAAATAAGAGGATACACAAAATTCGTTGAGCAAGAACAATCTCAATAAGTTTCTGCACCTTCAAGGAATGTTTTCATTGAAGACCACGAAGAGAAATAACCTCAGAAACGTTTCCAATTGAAGAAAATTCATTTCGTGTTCAAATTGTGGGTAAGTGTCGAATTCCTATCTATGACCTTTTTTTCCTTCAAATTAAGGATTCCTTTAGTTTAAGAGAAAAAAGATGAGCAACTTTGATGAAGGAATCAAGAGCTGAAACGTCTAAGAACAAGATACCTAAGAGATTGAAAATCGGAGGTGTCATGTAACTTGCAGACCGAGAGTGATTTCTCAAAATTAAGGTCCCACACTCAAAGTTGTTCCTCGAAACCAATTTCTTAAGCTTGAGGAAATAATAAGGAAGAAGTTCCATGAAGAAATCGAGCCTTGAAAACCCTTAGAATCGGCTACCCAATAAGAAATCCTTTGTTTTTACTCCAGCGAGAAATTATATTTTGGACGAACTTTGGAAGCGAACATCTTAGGCTACGATCCACGAAAAGGTATGAAATCAATCCATAGCTCTTCCTTGTAATACCCTCTTTAAGTTTCATGAAGAACTCGAGGGGAGAAACGAGGTGATCAGAGCTGGGGAGGGCGAGTTTTAGACGGCGGCGCAAAACATCACGCACGTCTTCTTCCCGTCTGGAGGAAGAAGACGATGACGTGGCCGGTTCAGTTGAACCGGCCATGTCAACCAAAAACTCGACCCCTCGATTTTTCTAAAATTTAACCCCTTTCCAGAATGGTTCTCAGAAAAATCTTTATGGTTCCAGAAACTAGACACAATAAGAAGTCTGTGAAAGAAAATTTAAGGTAATTCAGGTATCGGAAGATCATGAACAGAGGTCCCGAACGTCGACAACGAGGTAGTAGCCACCTTGCACCTTTTTGTTAAGAAATACTTGTAGGAATCGCTTGGATTTCCATATGAACCCTAAAACAATATTCATAAATCAATTCCATTTATGATTTATTTCAACTCCACCCAATTTGAATAAGTTAAAAAATAATTGACATAATAAAAAACTAATTAAAATATTTAGATATTTGTATAATTGAGACTAAAATATTAAAAAATAAAAATGTGGAAAGAAGTTTATTATAAATTCATACGACAAGGAAACAGGCGAGGTTCTAAATCCACATCCTCGAAACTATTTTTGATATCGGCAATCTTTATCATTTCAATACACGGAATATATCAACAACTGAATTTCACACCACCAATTAAACGGTAATCTTTAACCATCACAAAAACCATAATCAAACAGTATAAAACTTAAGCTTTCCAGTTCAAGATTTTATAAACTGGGTTATGCTACATGCTAATCGTTGCGTTTATCATCTTAAATTTTTGGCATATGAAAAGAGGTATAACAATAGTACACCTAAATTCCTACCTTTTATACAGATTATGAAAGATAATTAATACTAAGAAGGTTATGCTCATGCTTTAAATTTGTATTTAAGAAATAGGTTACTTTTAAGAATAGTATAATTTACGTCCATCGACCAATGTTAACCGCATGACTAGACAAGAATAAAATAAAACAACTTCCTTTTAAATCAAGAACGGCCAGTATAGACGTTACAAAACGTGATTATTCT